CAATACCCACACCCAGATCTCTGAAAATGGAATGCTGCCTTTCCCATGGGCAATCCACTTCTCAGTGTCACAGCCATTAGCTGTAGAAGAAGCCTCACAACTTGTACTAATCAACAAGGCAAGTGCAACAAAATGAGCCTTTCGTTTGACTTCCATTTACAAGGTCAAGTTGATTCATGGGGAAAGGACTAATAAGCCTACAGGGAAGAGCAGGTTAGATATTTGATGAAGAAAGGGAAAAAAGACCACTCAGCTTGAGGGTTCATCCTCTGTTGAGACCATCCCCTGTTCTGGTACACTCTGGCCATCACAATGGCACAAGAGAGTCGGGACCACCACTACTTTATTTCTCTTTCAGTTGCTTACAACAATTGGATCCTGTGCCTTGCTGCATTCATCTTCCAAATTGTCCAAACCTGACTCACAAAATTTTGTGTCCATAAAGTGCATCCCCAACAGATTCTGCATCAGTAAGACAGTGTTTGGATTTCATTTTTATTACAGTTTGAACCACAACATATGTAAGATCCTAATCATTTTCTGTTGTCCAAAGGCTTTTCTTCTTCAAGAGCCTCTGTACCCCAGGGCTGTACTGGTAGCACCCTGGGATTTGAAGGCAGGTAGGAGCTTCCACACTCCTGTGGTTACTGGTTCCATGCAGACCCTGCACCAGGGCCCAGGCAGCCTCCTCACCTTCCTGACAGCCCCAAGGACTCTGGAACTAATCCTTCCCATTGAGATGTTTTGGGTTTTTTCTGCTCAAATTTTCTACTTATTCCATGAGTCCTTGTCATTTCATGAAAGGGATTATTTTCAGATGTGCCTCCTTTTTAAGAACTTTAATCCCATTAACTATCAATGAGAGAAATTCATGCTTGTGATGGAGATTTAGGTAAACCTTGAATTTTTGCTTTCTTTCTGAAATCATTACATTCTACTTTTAATTATAGTGAAGTAGTAGAAACACAGTTTAGCACACACAGAGCTGTATACTGTGTCTTCATTTCCTTATTCCTAGAACTTCAGCTCTTAAGTCCACAATTCCTGTCTAATATTGAACACACAATTTCAGTAAAGGCTAATAAATTTCTTAGTGTGAAAATGCTAAATATGTTACTTCTTTTCTAGTGGGAATAAGCCCAGTCAGTGGCCACATATTTTCCTTATAACTTCAGCATTGGATGAGTCATAACCCAAAATTTATTCTTAGAATTTCAGCTCTTTGGTTTTCCACCACTTTTATGGGAGGCTGTTGCAGACTTTCCCACAGGCATTCATTATACTCCAGTACTCGTGGAGTACTCTGCAAATAATGATTTATTCAGAGCTGCCCTTAATATTTCACCCAAGCACCATACGTGTCAGTTTGGAAGCTGAGCCCTCCTAGCACAGTCTGGATCTGTGTAGTTTGAAGCTGAGGCTTGAAGTCAAGACTCTGGTACAGACCATTGTAATGTTGTGCCATAGAATATTTGATAGACTACTGTCTACTTCTCCTCAAATTTGAGTTTACTTGACAATAAACCCAAACTCAGAGGTAGCAACCATCACTGTGTCCTCCAGAAGACTATCTCCCTTGCAAAGAGACTGTATGAGTGACTATTCTGCTTCTCCCTGGGTCCCTGCCACCTTCTTGTTAATCCAGGACACAGCAATCTGCAAAGCAGAGGTTGTTCTGCACCTTGGGTCCCAAGATCCATCAGCTGACAGAGTGCTTTATAGCAGCTGCCCCAAAAATGTTAATTATATTGGCCAGAACATGCAGTCTTCCCCAGAAAAGAGACTTCTCCATGAAAATAAAGTGCTCTGTTGATTTTGTTTCATCCCTGAAGAACATATTTCTATAACCAGGATCCTTTCCCTCAGAACCTGGTCAAGCAGACAGTCTCTGGTTGTCCCTGAGGTTTACTTTGCCACAGATTTTCATTCTTTTAAATTTCTGGGGGAACACATCAATTGGTTTATCATATACTCTAACTAATTAAAGGAATATCCTCTTAGTGAGTTTGTGACATCAACAGCTCTGCTGTGCTTTTTGCCACTCACTGTTTGATGGATGCTGTGTTTCAGAGATAAAATCTTCTCTTCCATCACAAGTTTGGGCTCCAGAGTCAGAATCTGCAGGGGTTTGCCTACAAAAGCAGCTTCACTCCACTTCCTGATGTTTCTAGCACTGCCACATCTGGTGCTAAGCCCACTCTGCCTTTGGCCAGAGAACAGGTTGCCCTGCAGCACTCACAGCACTGAGCTGCAATAAACCACCAGCTAGAAGACAGTAGCAATCTCCTCCACCTCCTCTTGACCTGGGACATTTACTGTTACTAAGAGGATTTGGATGAACATCTGCCATCCAGGGATTTTTCTCTTGAAAAAAAAAAAAAATAAAGTTTGGCAGGTCATTTTTCCTTCCTCAGGGTGGTCTGGTGGTGAGGGCTGAGCTGTGCTGGGAGCTGCTCATACGGTGCTGGCAGGGCTTACTGTCAGATGGGAGGCTGTGATACACCAGTGAGTAGATACAGGGCTCATCATCACTTCCGTCCACTCTCTGCCATCAGAGCTGCTCCATTAAATGCAGCTCAGGAGCCAGGCTAAAAGCATTAAGCTATACAGCACTGCATTAAGATTCTTCTTTCGTGAAGATTTTGAACTAAAACAGTTTTTGCTTTGGCTCACCCTTGTAATTTGCACTTCAGTGAACAAGCTGGAGGCCAAAGTTAATAGAAATAGAGATCCCAGACTCTCAGATGTGTATGTATCTTCTCTTCAGATCAGTATATGAAACCTTTACACACCTTCAGATCACCTCAGCAGGACAGCTTGGGTCAGGAGGGTAGGGCAGGGAGTTAGGGTATTGGTTGCACAGAGCCGCATGCTCAGGGTGGAGTTACAATTGGGCTGGCAATATCCTGTTCTGGTACAAAGGTTTTTAATAACAAGAACAGATTCTTTGCCTTTGACACACAAAATCCTGACTACTCATCAAGCATGGTGCAGATAGAAAAGAAAGAACCACTCACAGAGAGGTAACCTCTCTATGGAACTGGGACATTTCAGAAATCCAAACTTTTCCTCTTCTGATCAATGCGAGATGAACGCCCTTCAAATGCTGCAATGGGTCTCTGCTGCATAGCTTTTAATTTAGTAATGCATTTTAAACCAAGTGTGATCAAAAGAAAGGTAGAATCAGCTGCCAAATAACTCTCTGCATTAGCCCTTCGCTGGCTTTGCTGGATGACACAGAGCAGCCTTCAGCCACCAGGCTGATTGTCTTGTTTAAACACTAATGAATTGCAAAAAAATTTCATCACCTGTTTCCCAAGTGAAGTGTATGACAGAACAGGTCCTGGGGAGGGCATTGGTTCTTAAGAAGTCAAGCTTGATTCAAGGTGAGGAATGACCCTCGAAAGGGATGTTCTTCAACCATGCCTGAAAAATCTTTCTTTTAGCTGCATTTCTGCAGTCAGAGAATAGGAATGTTTCCTGTTAAGGCAGTGTGTTTACTCGCTCACTATCCATTGTCTTCACTAGGGGGACAGAGATGCAGAGAGCACTGCTGCTTTTCTTCAGCCTCAGCTGGTCTCCCCCAGTCTCCAAACACCCTCAAACATCTTTTTTTTTTTTCCTTCAAGAACTCCCTGCACTGCAAGTTCTGCTTTGTGGCAAGCAGATGTTCTCCATCCTGAAATAGCTCTGTATCCTATCTAGCCACGATCAGGCCTCATCATGATCTCCACAGCAGGACTGTGCAGACCATAGGCAGAGACTATAATCTGCCTATGGGGTCTGAGGTGATACAAAAGGTGTTCTGGGGGCAGCTTCTTGCACCTCTGTGCCCCCCCAGGAAGCACAGTGGTGTCCACCACTTTCTTCTGAACCCTACCTGGAAAGTAGATAAAATATATGGAAAAAAATTCCTGAACTTTTAGGGATTAATAATTAGTGCTATTTACACTGGTACCTGTGTAAAGGAAAAGGCAGTAAAATATGTGGCCTTTCTGGCAGCAGTGGCAGTAGAAGAACTAAGGACAACTGCCCTGTTCTCCAGGCCAGAGTACCAAGCACACAGTGAGCTGAGTACAGGGAGACTCTCTGGAGAAGGAACCCATTCTCTCCTGTTCAGCCTGCCACTAAATGAGCCATTGAGACTGTATTTGAGGACCCGATAGTAGAAGATCTAATGAAGTCAAGTTAAAAAAGAAGAATCCATTTTTCCTAACCATGTCAGACTGATAAATCTGTAGAACAAGCTGCCAAGACAAGCCCCAGATTTTCTCTTCTCCTGAAATTTTCAGGTCAAGATTGCACTCTTGCTTAAGCTGTCCTGTAGTTAGATTCCAGATCTTGGCTCATTCACAAAGGAAGTAGCTGTGCTACATGAGGTGAGTCTGGGTAACAGACTGATCCTTTCAGATACAGCTGGGAAAAGCAGAGAGTGAAAGAGATGAAATGCTGCAAAGGGATTTAGCCATGCTTCATCAGTCTCTCTGCTCTCACAGCTTTTTGAGCATAAACAGCAGACAGAGAGCGCACAGCTTTTTGAGCATAAACAGCAGACTGAGAGAGCCTCTCCCTATACATACTCCATCCCACTGTGCTCAGGGGGGTCAGCAGAGTTAAGACATCAGAATACTCTTGTATTGTTGGTAGCACATAGCTGGGACACGTGCATCCTAAGCAGCTTATGCTTGGCCATTGCTTACGTGCAGGGGATGTGTGAGCAGAGAGGTTGGGAAAGAAAGATGTGGGTCTGGTCAAATGAGGGTATGTCCATACTGCATGATGCAGTGCAGCAGGGAGTGATGCAAGCTCATGGGCATGAGATGGGAAAATTAGGTTCCACCAATGAACAGTTTCTGGCACCCAAGATTAGGGGAGAATGGGGATATCTCTATTGTACAGTATGCTAGGACAACATCAGCTACCAAATGGGCACTTTAAAATCTGCTTCTATTTCCACCTGGTTACCAAACTCTCTCTCTTTCTCTCTCTCTCACTTCTAGGCTTGATAGTCTACTTAGGAATGATGGTGGGGGCTGTCTTGCTGGGTGGCCTCGCTGATAAGCTGGGAAGAAAGCAATGCCTCATCATATCCCTTGCAATCAATGCTGCCTTCGCATTCCTCTCCTCCTTCGTCCAGGGATACGGATTCTTCCTCTTCTGCCGCCTTATCTCAGGCCTCGGGTGGGTAACTGGTGAATCTGCCCAGTGTCCCAGAGGAGTCCCTTTACAGCTGGGCAGTTTGGGTGTGTGGGGTGGGAGAAGGAAGGCTGCACAGGAGAAACATCCCTGCTACCAAGCCAGGATGGCACTGCTGTTTAGCATGTGTGGTTCTGTTACCTCATTCTTGACCCTTAGTGTGTTAGTGGTAGGAAAGTTTGTTTGCTGACATTCTTCTGGTACTGCCCAAACTGTACAGAAAGGTGAGTGAGAATGATAAATGCCCACTTCAGTTTACAGTCCTCACTGTCCAGGATCTCTGATGAGATCCCCAGCAGTTCCCATCGCCTGCCTGTATTTTGCCTCCCTAAAATGAGTGGTCACAAAATAACAAGAGAAGACATCTAGGAGAAGAGCAAAGCATTACTCTGGTTTTGTACAAACTGTACAGGAAATTCAGCTTTTAGAGCATGAGAAGGATATTGTTGGTCTTTGATGTCTAAGACTAGTCCATCCAAAGAGACATTTGCATTTTTCCTCCAAGTCTCTCTTTTGAGCAGTGCATCTGTGAGTGTGACCTCCTAACCACAAAAACACCGAAGAAGACTCTCATTTTTCTAATTTTTTTTCTCCTCAGTATTGGGGGTACCCTCCCCATCGTGTTTGCCTATTTCTCTGAATTCCTGTCTCGTGAGAAGAGGGGGGAACACCTGAGCTGGCTTTGCATGTTCTGGATGATTGGTGGCATTTTTGCTTCAGCAATGGCTTGGAGCATCATCCCACATTATGGTAATTGTTTTGTGCTTTTGACAACACCACATTTCTGCATCAGTACACTACCCCAAGTCCCTGCACAGGTAGCAATAGTCAGTCCTTACACATCCCAGCCTAAACACCACTGACAATAATAGACACCTGAAGTGCTCACCAAAGGTCTGATGAATTGACTGCATGATTGACTGACTGATACTAAGGCTCTAAATAGGACTGATGAGGGCTGTTTCCATCAAAAGCTTCAAACACACCCCTTGAATTACCCTGCCAGAGCCTAAGCTCTTAATCTAAATGTCAGCACATTCAGGGAAAACTGGGCTGAGATTATATTGCAAAAATTGATCCAGTTATCAAAAATAAGTAACTTTAATCAGGGAATTACTGGGTGCTATGAATGACAGCAGTGAGGACAGCACATGTTTTCCCTTAGCCAAGTGTCAACACTCTCAGGGCTGTGTACCTGGTGACATATCTGCCCAGCTGGAGTCACATCTGACTTCACCTAAATGGGTTCAGGAGTGGAATGGGTTCCCCACCCAGGGCTGGAAGGAGAATGAAAAAGGAGATGGACATAAAATGAAACATATTTCTGCTCTGAGAAACAAAAGGCTGTATATCACATGGATTTCCTTGTAACTCATGTGTGTAACCTAGGAAAACATCAGAAGCAAATATCTACTGGAAAAGATTAATTCCCTCAGTATTCAGTGGCACCAGCTGTTTGCAAAATCCTGTGTGAGGAAAGTAGGACAGTTCACAAAAACCGTGAAGAAAACCACTCAAATTTACCTATCAATCAATCAGTCAATCAATCAATCCATGTTTAGCACATTTAAAGCACATTCAGTATAAAGAATGTTCATGCTTTTGATTGATATGTCAGAGTCTGTTGGAACAAATAGGCAAACTTAGGTGTCAGGTAGAAATAATTCGATTAGCTGCAATTACATTTGCTTTAAAAATCGCTTATGTGTTTCCATTACAATTATTTTTCAGATGACTTTTTGGTGTTGTGTTTTTATAGCTTCTCTTTTTGATTTTCAATGTTCCACCTACTATTTTGGAATTTCATGAAATTATTGGAACACCATGACTGGCTCAGATGAGACCTCTGAAAAATCATTGCTTGATGATTTTCTGATTATGTGAATAAAAATGTTTATAGAAAAAAATGAATTAAACATTCTTTCTGAGATTTGAGCCTACGGAAAGTAAAGGGAGCAATGTAAGAATGATGCTATACTTTCCAGTCCTTAGCAGGGGAATACCTGGTCAAGCATCAGGAGCAAAATAGGAGAGAGGGAATCTCAAATGTAGGATTAGGATTTTGATTCTTCTAGATTTGAATCCCAGCTCGAGTTTTGTAGGCCTGGAAAAAACCCAACTTGCTTTCCTAGCTCACTTCCATGAAATGTGAAATACATATGTGATATAGGAGATGGAAAGGAGCCATGTCTAAGGTGCCTCTCAGATCAGAGATTTAAACTTGTAAACTTTGGGTGACATCACTGAACAGCAATAAATTATGGCCCTGATTGTTCTACCCTTTCCCAGCCTTACCTGCTTACAGCTGCATGGAGCTATTCTTATCACTAGGTGATTTCAAAATTCAGATATAAAAGAAGTTTTTTAAAAGGCAGATCCTGAGCAAGTATGTTTTGCTTTCTGTAACGAACATGAACTCGCTTGCTCCTGTCCTCCAAGAGCCATCAGTACTAAGAATAGCAAACTTTCAACCTGTCCCCATGTCATTAGAGCTGTAAAGTTCAGAACTGCTTTAGGAGAGAAAAACTCAGAATGCCTGGTCAGTATTTTTACTTGTTGGCTCTTGCTGTTTCCAGGCTGGGGGTTCAGTATGGGAACCAAGTACCACTTCCACAGCTGGAGAGTCTTTGTACTTGTGTGCTCTCTGCCCTGTATCGCCTCCCTGGTGGCACTGAAATTCATGCCTGAAAGCCCACGGTTTTTGCTGGAGGTAAGATGACTCATCTGAACATTTTAGTCTGATATTAGCAGAGGATAGCAGGTCCCTAATGTGTTACTGTCTGTCCTTCTTCGTCCCTTCAAACACACATAGCACAAGCTCAGAGGCAAAGCCACTCCTACATGTCTACATTAGCTCCACAGTCTCCTTAAACCCCAAAGATTACAGACTGTGGGATCAATTACTGGTGGTTAGTGTTTCATTTTCAGATGGGGAACAGATAGAAGGTAGTGAGGGATGGGGATTTTCTAAGTCCAGCAAAGTGCCTTTGAAAACATCTCAGAGAATTTAGGAATGGAACTACTGAATCCTGGTAGAAGAGCAAAGAACAGAGTACATTTTACTGAGGAAAATATATAAACCTCAGAAATCTTAAGCACATGGTGTGTATTCCCATTTCACAGATGTGAAATATGGAAATATCTTGGTCAAGTTCACCCTGCAAGCCTTTAGCAGAGGTGGGATGAGAGACCAGGTCTCCTCATCCATTGCCTCTTCTTTCATCTGGTTTTAAAGTTCTATTCCTGATGCCTTTCCTGCCTCAGACAGTTTTAGGACAACTCCTTGCTCCAGCACAGACTCTGTGAATACAAACTGTGCTTTCAGCTCTCCACATTTAATGCAGCCTGTGCTGCCTCTGTGCTTCTCCACTATGCTGGAACTAGAATTGATTTCTCTCTGAGCTTTGATAAATTACAGGGCTGGGAGCTCCAACATTTGTTTTCCTTTTCTTTGGTGTTTTCAGATTGGTAAACATGATGAAGCCTGGATGATTCTCAAGCAAGTTCATGACACCAACATGCGGGCCAAGGGTGAGCCAGAGAGGGTGTTTACGGTGAGTTTGACAAGGCCATCAGTGTGTCAAATAGAAAAGCTGGACATACCTTCCTTAGTGCAGCACAGAATTGCTTTATTCCTCCTCAGGATTCTTTCAATGCAATCTCTCCCAGCAGTGGGAAAAGGACTCCAAGACACATTTGGTGTGTTTAAAGTCAATGTCAGTCTGTTTTGCAAAGAATTAGTCGATCCAGTGAGTTGCAGTGAATACTCTTCTTTCCTGGTGTTACTCTACATTGTATAGACCAGTGATTTCCCAATACATACATGCTTAATTGGCCTTCTCAAAGAGACTAAAACCAAATAAGAGATATTAGGCATGTGGGAGACCCAAGTCACTCCTTTCTCCATTCTGGCTTCTAATCAAACTCTGATTAAACTTCATGTACCTTCTAATAAGCTTTCCAAACTCCACCTGCCTCATACCCAGTCTTTAATCTCTCCAAGGGAAAGTGGGATGAGTGGCTACTACTCATTAGTCTGCTGCTTGTTGTGAAAAAGGTCACACCAGTGGATTCATTAACAGTAAAATCAGGGAAATGGTTTATGCTGGGGTCAGCTGCAAATTACTATAATTCAGTTGTAAGCTCCTGGTGAGAGAGCCAGGAAAAAGCTCTTGATTTGTCTTTTAAAGATGGGAAGATGTGTGCTCTTAAAGGATGGAGAGAAAGGAGATATGGCTGTGTGTAAAACATGTATTTTTGATCAAGAAGGAGAACAAGGCTTCATGTTCAGAAGGGTTGTCAGGAGACTGGGCCCCTCGAGACTGATCCCTTAAGGAAAGAATGTTTCATATCTGAGCATGACAATTGTGTGCAGGTTCAGGTAGGAACTTAATGAGCATGTGTTATTTTTAGGCTACCAACCATTTGACTAATGCAAACCCCGACAGCAAAGGCAAGAGAGACCTTCTCTTTAATTCCATAGCTGGCTTGGCTGTAATGCTGAGCTGGGGACTGAAACTCAAATATATATAAATATCTATGTAGTGTGTGTATGTGTATATATATATCACAAAGTAGGGCACTCTAAGAGTCTGAGCTGAGTAGGAGAATGAAGGAGCAGCTGTACAGCACCTATTAGTGCTCGTTACTCCATCCAACAGTGTCACGACTGCTGCGGCGTGAGCCGATCTCGGCATCGCACCTCGAGGTGCGGCGCAACGGCTGAGCCGACATGTACTGACATCCCTTGGCACAGGCAGAGGATGAGTGTGGCTGGTGTAGCACAAACTGTCAGATTTCGTGTTTTTCTGATAGGCCAGAAGTTGGCAGTTTGTGGTGAGTCAGCTGGTAGCAGGACAGTTCCCAGATCTGACATTTAAACGGTGCCAGGAAGAGGAACACAGAGACTCCACGGCTGAGCCAAGGCTCTCATTCACACTCAGAAATTTATTCAGCAAATTTTCATCTCATTATGTTTACAAACAGATCTGTTTTCCTTGAATATGTCCTTTATTTAAAGTTACTGAGCAAATATTTTCTGGGACTCATTTTTAAGATTTGTTGAGCAGTGCAGTTCAGGTGTTCAGTGTTGAAAATTCAGATTGTTTTGGTGAACCAAAATGATTGAGTGGTGTGGGCTCACTTGATGGCAGGAGACATTTTCAGCTGCAAAGATTCCCATCTACACATTCATTTGTCATAGAAGTTCTGCCAGTGGTACTTAAAAGATGCTAAATGGGAAATATTCCTGCTAGTTGTCTTAAAGAAAGAGATTCTGAGGGCACAGTTTGGATACAAGTGGCAGATCTTGGAGATAATTTTTACTATAATTACCTAGTCCTAATTTCTAGTGGGAATCTAAAGATAAAGAAAAAAGGTAGTATACAGGCATGATAGCCAATAAATGAAAGATAGAAGTGGACATGATGCACTTAAAATATTTCATGGAAGGAGAAAGAGAGTGAGAAAGGATGAAGGGAGGGATGGATGAAAGGAAAGAGGGAGGGCAGGCTTCTTTCTATATATTCTTGTGCTGACAAATTAATTAGCTTAATTGTTAGCACTAACTTTCAAGGAAAAGATAATAAGAGATCTCCTGTGGAAACATTGCCCAGATGACAGTGGAATTTCACATCCACATGAGATCAATTCTAGAAACTTCAGTCCAATTATTTTTTTCCTTTTATTTTTTCCTCCAGGTTTCCTATATCAAAACTCCAAAGCAAGTAGATGAATTTATTGAAATCCAGAGCTCAACAGGGACCTGGTACCAGCGGTGGCTGGTCAGAATTACGACCACTTTGAAACAGGTAAAGAGCAGAAGAAAACGTCACACAGGAGTTTTGAGCTTTGGGCTGTGGTGCCTTGTTACTTCAGGTCAAACCCTGATTCTCACTTCCAAAAAATCTGTTGTTTTTTGCAAAGGGCTGTAATCTAACTGCACTTTCTGTGCAGATGTGTGTGTCTGCAATCTGCCACACTGCCAGCCAGGCCCCCAAATGCCCCTGTGAGCATCACCATAGTCTAACAGTGCAGAGCTTCCAGGACCAGCCACAGCTCTAAGCGCTTGGCTCTCCTCCTGAGCAGATGAATATTGATTCCCTCTCCCCAAGCTTAAGTGAAATTACCACCCACAGTGTGTTCAGAAAGTGTTTGCTTTTTGTTTCTGCTGAGACTGAGTTTCTAACAATGTTGTATTGCCTCCTCAGCTAATTTAACCTCTCACAGGTGCTGTACTGCTTATCTATCTATTCCTAAGCAGAACTTTCTGGAAAACCTTGCTAAAACTTCTAGTCTTGAAGGATGAGCTGAAAGGAAAGGGGAATTGTTCTTTATTAATTGCAATGCAGGTGCTATACTATTACTATATTTATGTGGCAAGAGCATGAGGAGTTACATCCCTTCATGGGCCCTAATCTCTCTTCTACCATGCCCACAGTGATGCCATGCTGTAAGATGAGACAAGAGAGATTCAGATCAGATAGTAGAAAAAATCTTTCACTGTTAGGGTGGTCAGGCAGTGGAATAGGTTGCCCAGGGAGGTGGGGGAGTCACCATCCCTAGAGGTGTCTGGATCTGGCACTGAGTGATATAGTTTAGGGGTTACAGTGGTAGTGCTACGTTGATAATTGGATTGAGTGATCTCAAAGGTCTCTTCCAACCTTGATGATTCTATGATTCTATGTTCCTGACCATATTTTCTGCAATGGGTCAAGAGGAGCAGATCTTGTTCTGCCTCCTGCTCTGCTCAGCTTCATCCCTACCTGAGTTCATCTCACCCCTCCTAAAGTGCTAGCTGTGTTTGGGTTTTGGCTCTTCAGTGAGCTTTGGAGCTCAGTTTGAAAGCACCTTTGAGACCATACATATATTTTTAACAGAGAAGGTTGTCAGAAGGTCTGAGAACAGGCTCATATCCACATTTACTGATTTAACCTGAGTGAGGCTGCATCAGGCCAGCCCAGTCCTGGTCATGCACTCCAGCTCATTACAGAGGGCTCAGATCAAGTGTTCTGGCACATAGTTAAATAAGATATCTTTTTCTAAGCCATTTATCTCGATAAATGTAAATTTGAACAAACATTGAATATAAGCTACACATCTGACCTTTCCCTAACGAATCCTTTTTTTCTGACATTAGATTTATGATGCACTCAGAAATTAATCTGTTGAGTGTCTCCTAGGGTGTCCTGACAGTTTATTCCTTCTTGTGGATTTGTAGGTCTGGGACAATGTGCTATATTGTTTAACAGCCCAGTACAGGATGAACACACTGATGCTGGCTGTAGTTTGGTTTACAATGGCCTTAAGGTAAGGAACTTTCACTTTTTCAGGAAATTAAAGGGGCCTCAGAGTTTGAATAAGTATTTACACATCTAAGTAGACTATCCATCTAAATAGACTAATCAATCCTGGTCATATTTTAAAGAGTCTTTATGTACCAAGCCTTGCCCTCCTTCAAATATTGCTCGATCTGATTTCTTATATGAGGTACAAGGTGCTTTGAACAAATCAGGCCTTGATAAGTGGTCAGTAGTGCAGTAATATATTGACTTTCTCCCCTCTAGCTCTTTCATTTGATCTTGTACACACACACACACACACACACACACACACACACACACACACACACACACTCAAATACATGACCTTACTTGATTCTGAGATGTTTTTTTAGTCTAGACTAAAACCATTCAGGTGAGTTTAAATCTAGACTGCAAGTAAATTTTGTCCAACTCTCACTTACACCTCACACTTGTAGAAATCTGCCGAATTTCTTACTGCTCTGCTAGTCTCTTGGGCAGCCAGGATAGCACATTGCTGTATTTCCCAGCCAAGGAGTCAAACTTATATGAATTGCTCTGCTTTAAGTAAACAAGAATGGACCAACATTCTTTTGAGATCAGTCAAGTGCTAAGAGTAGGGAGACACTTTGCTCGGCCTTGTGTCAGAGCTGACCAAGAATTTGTGTCAGAAATGTATTTGCATTAGGAGTTCATCAAGTTTACAAGTTATGAAGTAGATCATTGGCAGTATCTTGTACCCCTAATGTGTGTCTCCCATCCTGCTCTAGTTACTATGGCCTTATTGTTTGGTTCCCTGATATGATCCGATATCTCCAAGATGAGGCATATGAATCCCGAGTGAAGATCTTTGATGAGGAAGAAGTGTCACACTTCACCTTTAATTTCACCCTGGAAAACCAGATCCACAGAAATGGGGAATACAGGAATGACAAGTAAGTGAAAAGAACTCAGTTTGATGTATTCAAACTGAAATAAATTTATAGAAAGCTTTTTTTCTTTTCCATTTTCCATCAACTTGAACCTCTCTCTTGTTCTTTTGGACACACAGTGTAAATCTCTAACCCAAAGGCAGTTTTGCACAGACCAAGTGTTCTTCTCATGCTGTTTTTTCACATACTCTGCCTCAGCCACTGGCATCTCCAGATCCCAGAGGATGCCTGTGAGGAGTTCTGGTTCCAGCAGCCACTTGTTGGGATCAGAGTGCCCACTGGCTGTGCTGGGCAGTTCTGGATGCAGAGGTGACTTCTCTTTCCTTAGCCCACACTGACATCTACTGGGCTTGGGCAGCAGAGACCATCACTTGTAAATAAACTGCTCTGCTGCTGTATTTTCAAAAGAAAAAGCTATTTTCTCTTGAAGTCCTTGATATGACTTACCCCAGGCTCCATCCTGCAGCCCATTAGTGCGAGCTGTGCCATGGCCATACTGGTGTGCTTCTCCCACACTAGCACGAATCTCTGTCACCTTCTCCTTTAGTGCTTTGAAGTCAGTAAAGTTGCTCCAGCAGAACATCGTTGCTTTCCTTCCTTTTTCTCCTATTCGGGTTGGACTTGGTGTTTTTAGTTCTGCACCCAGACTGCGCCCCAATCCCTCTATGTTCCACAGCAATATAGCAATCCTAGCCATTCCATTGCTACTTTTCAAAATCCAAATAAAAAGGGTGGGAAAATATCCATATGTAAATTCTATGGAGATCCCATTGTCCTGGGTAGACTAGACATGGTGTTGCTCCACTTGCCTTGCACCATGTGGGGAGGTCCCACTGGATCTTCTGTGTTACACAAAGCGCTCGCTGTTTTAATCCTCACAGCTGAAATCACATCTCATTGCCCAGCCAGGTTGTTCCTCTCCCCTCAGAAATTATTTATCTTCGTTTCCTTGATGTATATTTGATAGACATTGATGGGGAACCCCAACATGTGTCCCCATGTCCTTCCAGAGACCTTTCCTGCAGCAAGGGGCTGTACGGGATGGTGCAAACCTAGCCCCACAATTCTTATTCCCCAAAAGAGAGTGGTAAGAATTGGATGCTGGCCAAATTTAGGGATTGAGGACCTTCTTGTTATGCCCAGAGCTTTCACTAACTTCACTGAGAATTAAGGATGCTCAGCATCTTGCAGGATGAAGACATGAAACTGTGATGTACTATTGTCCTGCTTTGTCCTTCCCCATTTCAAATACTCAAAACCTAATCGAGCTACATCCCAATAATGCCCAGAGCATATCTCAGTGTTTTACAGCTGTGTTTTCCCTCCAGCCCTTGACTGTGAGTTAAACTCCATGGAACACCAGACTATTGCTGATTCCTTTAAAGACAGATGTTAAGAAAGCAAACTGCAGGGGAAAAAAAGGCTTCTAACAGCCTTTGGGAGTAAATACATCACAGGCTATTACTGAGCAAATGCAGAACAGCTTAAGTTTTGGTGTAACCTATGAGACCTTCTACAGAGAGCAAAAGACTTGAATAGTCTTCTTGTGGTATTTTGTGCATTAATAATTTGTTAGTAGCTTCAGTTAAGAAGCCCTGCAGTGCTCATTTAAAGGTGTAAACAACCATCATGCTACACTGTGTTCTAAGTGCTCGATTCAATTAGGCCTCTGAGCATATGTTAAAAGGTTTTTTATTTGGTGACAGTCATGGGCTCTTTAACTAAAGCAATAATGCTTGTTCCTAACAGCTCCTTACATCTTCCAAACATGCCTGTGCATTACTTAATATATCTTCTCAGTGTCCCTGCAAAATCTCACAGGTAAATCAATATTGTGTCATCCTTCAGGCAGGCAGGTCAGATATGTCAAGCTTCCCATCAGAGGAGAAATCAATCACCTGACACAGTTTATTATTTTTAGTGAAATCTGTTTTCATTACATGATAAGCAATAGACCTCGGACTGAGATGGTTACAAGCAGAACTCAGATAATCTCCCCACTCTCTCCAGAAATCCTGCTGCAATTTCACTTAAAAAATCACTTTGAGTATAAACAACTGTCAGAAACCTTTCACCAAATGACTCAATAGGCTCCTGATAATGTCTGGTTTTATTTATGCTGGAGGAAGGGAGAGAATAAGGACGGCAACGAGGTCAGCTCATGAAGGAAATGCCCTGCACTGAGTGAAATTCCATCTTCTTCAGATGGATGAGGACTGAACATGGGAGGATTTGTGTCCCCTCAGCCTTAGAAGCACATTTGCTTAGATATGATTGTTTTGGGGAATAGAAAAACTGCCAAAAATCATAAAGGGTCCATATCTCTTTTTAAAAAACCCTTTTCAAACCCTTCTCTTCTACTAAAACACAGAATAAGTAAGCATGGAGTTGGAAGGACAGTTATGCATTCATTTTTTTCTGTAAATGACCCTAGACATTGCCATTAGTACTCTGTCACTACATGCTACACAGTGTAGGAAATGCCTTAAAGCATAGAGTGAAGTTTTGTTTCCTGCCCCACAGATTTATTGGCATGAAATTCAAGGAAGTGAAATTTGAGGATTCGTTATTTGAGGATTGCTACTTTGAAGATGTGACATCTACTGAGACCTTCTTCGAAAACTGCACCATCATCTCTACTGTCTTTTACAACACTGGTAATGGGATTCCTGCTCTGGTGTCGTCTCCATAACTAGGAATTATTTTATCAGAAAACTATTTTATCAGAACTCTTTTATCTGTTTTCTAGGAGAAAGGATGATAGGGATCTGTGTGTTTGAGTGTGTGCTGGGTAATGAGAGCGATGATAAAAAAATGAGGGTGATGCTTTTGGAAAGAGACTTCAGGTTGCTCTATCAGTGATTCTAACTATGTGGCTCTGGTGTCACTGGTGGCTGCTGTGTGGGAAATGCAAAATTCTGTTCTCAGATCTTGGCAGGTAAAAGTAATGGCAAAATTATCAGTGCTGTAACAGCATAATTCAACAAATTTGGCTTAAAATCTAATTTTACTAACCTACGGTTTTTGACTGTAAGCAATAAAATATTTGTTAATTTATCCTGAAAAACTTTTCATTTCTACTTTAATAGAGAAGAAACTATAATCATGAAAGCCAGAACCTGCATTGTCCTGTCCTTGTGGCATGGGGATACTGGTCCAGATGAGTCCACAAATGGAAGGAGTGTATGAGCTTTCACCCACTCAAAGACAAGGACACAGCTAGAGTTTGTCACTGAAATAAAAACTCCTGAATATTTCTATTTGATGAGGAGCTTTTCCTGGGTCTTTGATTTGTTTTAGATCCTGGCTCCCATTGCTGCTGTATGAAGGGAGTTTTGTGGCATGGGGATACTGGTCCAGATGAGTCCACAAATGGAAGGAGTGTATGAGCTTTCACCCACTCAAAGACAAGGACACAGCTAGAGTTTGTCACTGAAATAAAAACTCCTGAATATTTCTATTTGATGAGGAGCTTTTCCTGGGTCTTTGATTTGTTTTAGATCCTGGCTCCCATTGCTGCTGTATGAAGGGAGTTTAGCCAAGCACGATAATTCCCTCTTTCTTCCCTCACAGATCTCTATGAACACAAATTCATCAACTGCAGGCTCATAAACACCACATTCATGGAGGAGAAGGAAGGCTGCCACATCGACTTTGAGGAGGACAATGATTTCCTCATCTACCTGGTCAGCTTCCTGGGCAGCCTGTCTGTGCTGCCAGGCAACATCATCTCTGCATTGCTCATGGACAAAATTGGGAGGATAAAGATGATTGGTGAGTGGGGACAGTGAGTGCATGGTGTGGGTGGGTGGGAGCACAACCCTGCAAAGAGCATCATCAGTGTGAAGGTCTCACTGCACACTGAGCTGGCTCTGGTGGGAATGAGTCATTCCCATATCAAATGGGGCAGAAGGGGAAAGACTAGAGGGTGAGGCAAGTGATCTACTCCACAGCATTGGGCAAATAACCTACTCCCCACCTCCTCACCCTGCTTTTCTGTGTGTCTGTGACATCGTCCTTTTTTATTTTGGCTTTTGTGCCCAATCCTGCATGTTTATCTAATGCTCAGCACAACAGGGTCAGAGCTGAAACAGGATGTCTTGATGCTGGTGAGTTGATGCTGAAGTTCATAGCCTCTGTATAAATAAATGAACACTTTGCTTGTAGCAACGAATATTCACAGAGGTTATTTGATGTGGCAGCTTGACAGCTCAGGAGTTCCCTCTTTTGTTTTTTTCTGATTTTCAAATGATTGTACAAACAGCTTTGGAGACCATATGGTAAATTAACTGACCATGTCACAGCCAAGCAAGATGCCTTTAGCACCATGGGAATAAGTTATCACCTTATCAGCTTTATGGTTACTTTGGGAGTTTCTGGTGTTGCTTCCTCCAGGGTTCAGATCTTGCTCTCCAGGTACTATGGGAATCATACTCCGAGGGAGAGCCAAATGAGGTTAATAAAATCAGGGATGTGGCTCAGGGGTAAGGGATGACTCACTTTCCTGAGCTCACCTCTCTCTCTCCTGAGAACAGAGGGAAGGGTAGTTAGCTTAGCCTCATCATCAGACAGGTAAAGTTAAGCAAATGACCCCACTGGTGTATCAGGAATGTACACTGGGGTAAAATGAGCATTCCTATGGTGAATTTGGAAAAGACCCAAGCAAACCAGAGGGTCTGTGGGAAATATGTCGAAGGAAGCTGAATAAGATTGCCCATCCTGCAGACATGTCAGTGTGTCAGCAATTCCATCTGGAATTGAGATGACAGCTGGAAGCCTAAATGCTTATTTCTTCTGCAAAATGAAAAGTACAGGACAAAAATTAGTAATGACATGCTGAAATGTTTCACTATGCAATTTTCAAATGAAACAGCCTTCTGGCATCCCACCCATATCCCTCTGCTGAACATATTATTTCTGGTCAGCTGAAGAGGAAAAAAGAATTTCATTTTTATGTTCCTCACTGGGACTTCAGTTTTATCATGTCCCACTAAACCTTCTCTAATATAAAACAGCAGATCTCCTTGTCCCTAATGCTGGACTGTGCCTCTTCAGCAGAGGGAATAACCACACTGTACTGTGGGGATATATTTTGGCCAGATACCATGGAGGAGGAGGAGAGGATGTGGTGTCCTTCATGGCAGGTTTCCATCAGCAGGATACCACAGAGGCAAGATGCAACATAATGTCCAAAGTGAAGCATTTTAACTCCAGTTAAGCTTCCAATTTATTTTGGATGGCACCAAATTGATTAAAAAATCCCCCAAACTACAAAGAAAATTGGTAGAAAATGAAGATATTTCAGAGACAACAGAACCTTCCAAGTGAAAAATAGTTTGATTTTGCAAAATTTTCATCTTTCAGGTGGAAATTCCCAATGGAGTAGAAGGACATGATGTAGCTATTAATATTTCTGAATCTGAATCTGAACTGTGCCTAACTGAGCATGAATGCTCTCACTTTCTCCCTCAGTGGTGTTCACAAAATTATGGCTCCTGTGCAAATGTGCCATGAAATCTAATGATGTTCTTATAATTAAAAGAGACCTCAAGTGCTTCATACAAGTGACTGTAAATTATCCTAATTGGAACTAGAAATGTGTCAAGTGATTTCAATAGGATATGAAATGCACTAGCTTATCACTTGAAACTCAAGTTGAAAAACCTTCACAATGATGCTTCCTCCTCATTGACTTTCATGTTTACTTGCCTCTGCTCTTCCTGGGTCCATCTGGAAGACTGAGATGCTGGAAACCTGCCTAGAAAATCTTGTCTTCAGAGTCTTTGTAGAGCAGGACTATCAGCAATATTGGATTATCACTGAGAACATTTTCAGGCTGGTTTCCAGCATCAGAGATGACACATAGGCACCATCAAGGTGGTTTTGCATTCTTGCAGATTTAATTCCTTTTGGGATGAAATACCATCACTTGAAAATTCTCTTTATCAACAAATGTGTTTGTTCAGCTGTGGACTGAGGAAGATGGTACCAACATTTTCCTCTTGGTTTCCCCCCACAGGTGGCTCCATGTTGATCTCAGCAGTGTGCTGCTTTTTCCTCTTTTTTGGCAACAGCGAGTCGGCAATGATCGGCTGGCAGTGCCTGTTCTGCGGGGCCAGCATCGCCGCCTGGAACGCCCTGGATGTCATCACTGTGGAGCTCTACCCCACGGACAAAAGGTGCTCAGAATATTTCTCCTTTTAGTCTCCACCCTCTGACTTTGTCTTCTTGGTTCCTGATGGGAAAACTCACTCTAGATACACATAGAGTGGAGAGGTGTACTACTTTTTTTTTCACCTGTACTTCAGGTCTGTGCAGTGCTGGAGCTACATGGGATCAGCATAGACATTTGCAAGCATAATTCTGTATGCATGGTAGAAAGTGCACAGGCATCATGTGGGTGTGTGGAAATTATGGGCAGATGCAAGCATAATTCTGTATGCATGGTAGAGAGTGCACAGGCATCATGTGAGTGTGTGGAAATTATGGGCAGACAAATCCTAGAATCATGGAATCATAGAGTGGTTTAGGTTGGAAGGGACCTTAAAGAACATTCAGTTCCAAACTCCATGCCATGAGCATGGACACCAAATGAAATACAGACTGTCATTTCCATGGATGTGTCTGGGATTCTGGCCTTTCAGACTGTATTCCCCAACCTCTCATCATGGCTCATTACTGTGGCAGCCTTCCCCTCCAAAATCTGGAGACAACCATGTGAACAGAAAGATCTGGGATATGGGACAGCACACATGGGAGAATGTGCTGGAGATTAAATCTTTCCTTACATCAGAATTTTTAGCCCCTTTTTGTCTTTTTCAGGCCATTGGGGAAAGCCAGAGGGAAGAAGGACTGTGCATTGAAAGCAGTGTACTTTTAGCTCCTATGTGAAATAGGATTTGGAGGAGAGCTATGGTTGCTTCTCTGGTGACAACCTGCTCCAGGCAGTCCTTGAAAGGGCTTTGAGGAGTTCTAGAGCAGATTGTGTCCTGCTGTGTTTGGGTAGGGCAAAGGCTGACATAGTGAGCTACTCTAGGGCTTGGGAGAAGCTGAGATAAAAAGGAGAAATGAGTACACACTGACTTCCAGCTGGAATTCAGTACACACAGACATTCACACAGCCATGCAAAACAGTGGCATCTATTTATCTATTTGTTTATTCTGCCTGGCTTTACTTGCTAGAAGCATACCCTGGGCAACATAAGAGCATTCACAAAATTATCCATCCAAACCTTCTGTAGTTATGCCAGAACCTCGCTCCTAACCATTGCTTTCTGCTTTTCCTCCCTACAGGGCAACAGCCTTTGGCATCCTCAATGGGCTTTGCAAGTTTGGTGCCATCCTGGGGAACTCAATCTTTTCCTCCTTCGTAGGGATAACCAAGGTGGTTCCTATTCTTCTGGCCTCCTCTGCTCTGGTTGGAGGTGGCCTGCTTGCTTTGCGCCTCCCAGAGACTCGAGAACAGGTCCTGATGTGAGCAACAAAGGCCCAGGGGTTTGGGGGGCAGATGTAGAAGAGGATCAAAAAAGAGCCATGTTTGGAAAACCCAAAATGTTCACTTCTATACTGTTCTGTCAATACCTCAAAACGAGATGGCAGAGAGAAAGAAGAACCCAAAGGGATATAAACAAACCCCCTAGTTTCTGACCTTTTTACAGCCATGACTGGTGCATGCAGCTCCCACACATCCCTTGCAGAGCTTGGGTTCAACCTTGCCTATGCTGGGAGCCCACCCTGTCCCACTCCATCCCACTGTACCGACACCAGATGCGAACAGCGGCTCCGTGCATGTGTGTGCCTGCGTGGGTGCGAGCGAGTCCAACAGGAGAACAGATCCCGATCCCCTCACGCCTTTGCCAAGCTGTGAGATACTGCCTGCCCTGCCCAGCACTCCTTGGCAATCCATATCAGCTGTGCTCAGACACGAAGGGCATCCGAGGGGAGGCAGGTAACAAACCTACTGTAGGTGAGCTCCAGCAACAGGGACAAGAGCTACAAATGTGGCCAGTGGCCCCAGCTGTCTTGATTTTGGGGTTACCACCCCAATTGCCTGGAAGAGTGAGAGTCCTGATTTCTGCAGGATGTGAGAGTGGGTGCTCAGCTTTCTCAGAAGACTCAGGGTTTCAAAACCCTTTACTGTCTTCACTTAGGCACGGAGAATCACTAGGCACCTTCTTGATCTGAGAGAGAAATATCTAAATAATTTTATAGATATATATATGTATTTACACATACAAACATGCACACACTGAAGTGATCAACTATTAAAATTTATAATGTTTAATTTCTGCACCCTTAAGAGGATTTTAAGAGAGACACTAAAAACTAATCCCAGTAATTCAAGATCATATGGAGTCACGACCAGCTTAGTGACACTTCATTCTCTATATCCAGACACCAAGTATTTACATGCATTGATGGCTGGGAATATATATTTCTATAAAGATTAAGAGGTTTTTTCCTACAATTTTCACAGAGGAGAAATTGATATGATGCTGGAGCATTCCACAAACCAAATGTGTACATACTATCCAGTGTAAATAGGGGATTTTTGCCTAATACCTAGAATATGGTAACTGTGAATTTACCAGCATTTTAGCCATATTATTTAAAGAATATGATGCTTGATTTTCTAATATACTTGGGTCTCATTGAAACACTGTAAGCACAGTTACCTAAAGCCATTTAACTTCTTACACAGGGAATGCACACAGCAAGCTCTCACTCTACAGAACATTAAATTCTCCATTAAGTGACACAGTTTAGTTTGATATCCTGCGCAGAAAATTTTGTAAGTTTGTGTGCCCTTTTTATCATATGAGTTAAGTCCTGTTGCATCTAGAAGCAAAGTGAGTTGTGTATTTTGAAGTAGGTTTTCTTGGGAAGCCAAAATGAAATGCATCCTGTTCAATAACACACCAATGCTCACAATGGATGAGGCAACACTAATTAGAACCTTTCAACAAGCTCAGCAACAGGCCAGAATTGATCAGAAAACATCACATAATGCACCAAATTTGTCACACCAGGATATTTTGTGACATAAAAAGTTCTTTTGTGCTTTTGCTCATGATCTTCCTATTTTCCTTTCTTTGGATCCTCTCTGTTGGTTTGTTTTGGGTTGGTATTTTTAAGAAAACCAAGCAAGGTTACGCTGAAATCCAGCAGGGCTGGTGTCTCACACCTCTGCCTTTGGCTGCACAGGGACAGTCACCTGCACTCACACTGGCAACAGGTCCAGCCTGTGGGAGTCAGCATGGTCCTGCTGCAGAGGACAGCTGAAGGACACACAGCAGGGTTAGATCACAAGCAGCAAATCCTTGCTGATGAGGCAAAAGCCTCTAATGACCATCACTTTTATCATTGTGTCAGTCAGGGATAAACACTTACAGAGCAGCTAGGCTACAATGGGCTATTTGGGACTTTTGACATTTATTCTGAGGTTTATGAAATTGATAAAATCACAAGCTGCTGTAATAACTGAGCTCATTATGCCTCATTTCATCATTTTATGGGTAGCTTAGGGCCCTTTTTTCCTTTTATTTGTCTTCAAAACAGCAAGGTTCCTTCTCTAAGGTAGGAGTGAATGTAATTATGTCCTTTGGCAGCAGTTCACAGCTTCTGTTCAGAATCACAGCCCAGAACGTGGTTGTTTTTTCTCTTAGAATATCTGGTCCTCTAGCATGGTGAGAAGCAGCTAAATATGTATTTTAACACAAAAGATCACCGTGATTTTTATGTTACATCCATTTTGTTGGGCTGTGCTTGCAAATTGCCACATTGCAATTGTGGTGGAAGAAAATTTTGTTTCATTTTCTGGACTATTTGTGTTACTCTGCAGAGTCAGAGCCTATTTATGAAGTATTTATTCTACATAGCACTCTTATTTACATACCACCCAATGCTCACAGCAAACATTACTATTTGTGCTCTCCGTTGACACTGTGCAGTGACACTAATGACATCATTTATTTTGCAAAACTTCTCTGTTAATTTTCAGAGAAGGAAGAAACTGAGGTCTTGAGGAGATAGAAATGACAAGGTAATATTAGGAAATATTGTCCAGTCTTACAAACCTTTCTTCCTCACAGAACAACTCTTTCACAGGCTGCTAAACTTCACCTCACAGATTAGCTGGGACAAGGTAAAGAGCAATAGGAATTTGTTGTCAATGTCACTTGAGCTACCCCCATGACTGTATAAACACTCTGCACCCCTAAAATCCATGGGTCAGTCACTTGAGGTCTAAGGGATGTTGCATGTCTGTTGGGACAAACCTCTGGTTTGACCAGGGAGTTCGTGTCTAATAGGAGAAAGCAAACACTGCAGCTGGTACACAAGAGCCTGGGAAAGGACAGCACTGAGCAGAGAAGGAAGAGAGGACAAGATAAGGAGAACTCATATTGCCTAGCTGAGACACCTACAAGTCAGGTGTCTGGGGCTGAAGTCACTGCCCTGGGTTCCCGTTATTGTCAGCTGAAAGACAGAAGCAATGCATATGATCACACTCAGGCACTGTGCTGAACAGACGATGGCTTGCCCTGGATAGCCCTGCTCCTCCTGAAACAGAGAAATCCTGGGCAACAGCTCCAGCTCGAGCCTTTGCCTTTCTGACACCTGGGCTGGCATGTCCCATCCAACGGCAGTGCAAACAGGTTTAGTCAATACTCCCGATGTGTTTGTCAATTGTCCTTGTCATGGTGTAAATCAGCATAGGTGACACACTGCTGCTCTCTGGGCCCTGGATAGCCCTGCTCCTCCTGAAACAGAGAAATCCTGGGCAACAGCTCCAGCTCGAGCCTTTGCCTTTCTGACACCTGGGCTGGCATGTCCCATCCAACGGCAGTGCAAACAGGTTTAGTCAATACTCCCGATGTGTTTGTCAATTGTCCTTGTCATGGTGTAAATCAGCATAGGTGACACACTGCTGCTCTCTGGAGCAGTTAAATGGTGTAAATCAGCATAGGTGACACACCCCTGCTCTCTGAAGCAAAACAGTTAACGGGTACAGATCCCTCAGTATTGGCTCTGGTTTGATTTGGGCTCAGTTTCAAGCTGTGGGCTGAGCCTGAGCCACAGAGCCCTGAGCACCAAGCAGGGGGAGATTTTTCATCAGGCACCTCGTCCGATGGCTCAGCTTTATTTCTGCTGTCAAATCAGCATTACACCTGCCATACAAGGGCCAGCATGCCTCCTCCATTGGTTCCCTGCCCATGTTGCCACGGTGAACAGTCTCTGTCTCCAATACACTGGATCATCCACAGAGAAAACTGCTGACCTCAGGTCCCCTGATGATCTCTGCAGAGCACTATTTCAATGGATTCATGAACTTTACTGCAACAGGGACAGAGAGGACCAAGACAGGGGACTTGCCTTAAATCCCAAAGATCACTTCTGGAGGACAACTGGACCTCCTCATGCACGTGTGACACACCAGTACAGCCACTCAGCCAGGGGCTTTGTGGCATGGGAAAGGTGGGTCTAGGGAACCTGAACCGGCCTGCTGTGATCTAGCATCTTCAGCTCTACAGCTCTGTAAAGGGGGTCACAGGAGGAGTCCATTGCTGAATTTCTGTGCGTGCAGACACAGACATTTAGAGGAACACTGAGCACTGTTGATAGTGTTATAAAAGACCAGTGGTATTACAATAAGCGTTCCGCCTCCTTATATTCCCTGTTGATTTAAGGGTTGTCCTATACTGATTTATTTACTTCAGCTGTGCAGGACAGCTCTTGCCACTGCCTTTGGCTCTGCTACATCCAAGTGGTGGTGGCTGCAGCTTGTGCTGGGTGGCATGATCCCCTCCTTGCCCATATGATCCTCATTCCTTGAAATTCTTTGAAATACTATGTTACTTAAAAACAGTGAGGTGTGGAACTTTTGGACTACAAAAAGGGTCACTCTTGGAAAACCCACACACAGAGCCAGATGTTCTGTACACTGGGGAGTGGTCAGACAGCCCAACATCCTTTGATGATACTGGAGAAACGCACTGAGGGATGCTCCCCAAGCCTGGGAGTGGTCCAGCCCCAAGGCTGGGTTCACACAGGGGCACAGAGTGTGGCTGCATGGAGCTGAGATTTCTGCAGATGTGCAGAAAATGTCTCTTCCAAGCCCTGCTTTGAGACTTCCAACAGTAGAGTATACTCTGATGCTGTTAAGGAGGCCCTAGGTCCTTTTATATTGTCTGCTTATGTCCTTTGACTTTCCAAAGGACACAAAAAATGTGAGAGGATATTTTTAGGTTTATGTAGATTTGAACCCTGTACATTTTATTTTCCATTAAGTTTCTCCCTCATTTTCTCACCCTCATATTAGCAAATGCTGCTTTTAGGAAGAATCAAGCCTGGGAACTGTGAAGGAAACAAAACAAAATAAATTCCTTTGCTGTATGTGATGCTAGTGCTGTATAAATGTACACACACTGCAAGTCCCACTGTAAATAACACCCTGTGTCGTGCATTAAATGGACAGTT